AATTTTCTCAAGCAAGAGGCAGTCGACGGGCTAACGCGCACCGTTCCAGCCCCCCCCCCCCCCCCCCTGACCCTTTCCTTACAGACAGGCTCCCATTACAGACCATAGCAACGAAAGAGAACATTACAGACCATAGCAACGAAAGAGAACATTACAGACCTTAGCAATCGAGAATAAAAAATGTTAGATTTTCTAGAGCTTTTTTGGAAAATTGATCAAGTTATAATTTTGAAAAATAATGAGCATCATTATTTGCGACTTGATTAATATATATGATAGTGTGTAAGATCTGCTGTAGATATTATAGATTTGTAAAGCACACTTCTTTGTCAATCAATTCAACGATTATAAGAATAAGAATGATAAATTAAGAAAAACGAATTTAAAAAAACGAAAAATAATGAGCGAATAGCAACAATGAAAATGAAAAATTGGGTGCCCGTAGAAGGAAAAATTTGTTCAAAATGCAGAAATTGGAGAATTTTTTACTGCAATGATTAATTATCCTGCAAAGCAATTATAGTTCACGAGAGATTTTTCATTTTACGTTTTTTGTATTAATTTAATGATGCTATAAAGCACGTGTGAGTTTCACATTTCAGCTCCACAGGGGCTGCGCTAACAAGTTTTTTTTTTAAACTTGACGAGTAGCCCGGAGAAAACTTGTCAGAAAAGTCTGATATTCAAGTTTCGATGCAGTTTCATTTCCTCTATTAAACGGTGAAAGTTGCAGATCTCTATCTCGTTCCTATCAAAAATAATTTCAAAAATACTTACCCACCTTTTAATTTGAAATGGATATTAGTTGCTAGTATTTTCTACTGTCGTAAGCTAATAAATCCTGTATTTAAGGAAAGATGTGAGACCAAAAGTCTTGATTTCGGTATAGATGCAGTGCCATTGTTGTCATCACTTTGAAAGACAGTGTTTTTTTCGAATAAAGATGAAAGGTTGCACTCAAAATAATTATAGAATCGAATGAGGAATCAAAAAGGATCCCAAAAACTGCTTTTCTATTTTCGATTCTTTGATATCTACTGTCGGTGGATTTAACTAAAAGAAAGTTAATGCTAAACAAGCAATTCGAAGGTCATTAAAATATATATGAAGGTATCGTTTCTGAATTTTTGATAGTGTTTATCGGATTATTTTGAGTCCTAATAGAAACAGGAAATATCAATACCTGTTGTTTTCTCATTTAGAAGATATCAAAACGTATTTTTGAAGTGTTCTGGGAAAGTTTGTAAAACGAGCTAAAACTGGTACTAACGCAATTCGATTCTGGTTTATTGAAATTGATAACTATAAGTTATATCTTTCTATGTGTTGTGTAGATACTGTCACTTTGAATTGTTGCATATTCATAGATGCCGAAGCCTAGTATCAATATGATCCCTAGACATTATCCGATATACCAAAAGATTAAATATCCATCAATGTGCACACGAAAAGAGAGAGAGAGAAGTCCATCGAGATAGTGTTACTTTTATTGTATGATTATGCATATAGATTTCAAATTTTTCGTCAATGTTGATCTCATCAAATCTTAGCGACCGCTCCTCCCCGATATCATTTGACATTTTTTCGGCGATGCTACTCCTTGATAACGTCATGTATGAACAATCTCTAACATGTTTGAGTAGAAGAATTAAATACGACACAATTTTTCTTTTTCCTTTTTAATTTTTCTTTTCGATCATTAGCACATTTGTGCAGTTTAGAAACATGGCCCCGAATAGAACAATTACAGGTCTAACAGGTAAGTTAAAATGAGATGTCTAGTGGCATTAGTTCTTTTTGAATAAACTG